GGAGAAGGAAGGGACTCTAGTGCCAGCAAGTCTACATATGCACCCTACGCACAGGCGGCGTGGCAGGATGGTAGAACGGGGCATTCCCTTGCTATGTCCCCTCTGGAGACCTCTCTGTGCATGAACCTTTTGCCTGAACACAGAGGTTGTAGGGAGCCCTCCTTGGCCCCTCTGAGGAAGGCCCTGTCATAGGCTAAGCTGCTTAGAAAAGCTCAGTCCCCTCCCATGGGTGAAGGCAATGGGGCAGCACACCTGGTTGCCAGACTCCACCGCCCACTCTGTCCTTCAGGCCAAAGCCCTAGGGTCAAAGGGCCAGCCCAGTCCAGGAGGAGGCGGCAGGTCAGCTCCCTCCTCTCCCTCCAGGCCTGTCTTTCTCCCAAACTGAGCTGATAGCCTCTCAGCAGGGCCAGCCTGTCCCGGGAAGAAATAAAATGAGAAGTGTGTGTGCTGAGCCCTGCCCCTGGTTCAGAGTATGTTGTGTGGGTGGGGTGACTAGAAGCTGGGAAAGAGCTGATCTCCCTTGGGCCTGCTGGGCCTCTCCTTCTAGAGACCTTACAGACAGAGCCGGGCAACCCCACTCTCACCCCGCACCCCTGGCTCAATGGCTCAGGTCCCCCTGCTCTGACTCTAGCACTGCCGCCACCAGCCCAGCTTTCCACCGAGGAGCCACCTCAATAGGGGCTATTCTCACAGACCCTCAAGTTCCCCGGCACGTTGACCGCCCCATCTCCGGTCTGTATCCCCCACAAGCAGACACCATCTCCTTGCTGTTCTACTCACAGCTATTCACTGTCACCTCCAAACCTTTACCCACCCCGTACCCCTGCTTGGAAACCCTTAGTCTCTGCTTACCAAATCCCAGTCCCCCTTCAAGGCTTAGCGAAACAGCACAGCCCTCTCCTGCCAGAGTCCACGACATACAAGCTTGAGGCCTCCACCTCCTCACCTCCAAACACTTCCACTCTAGGAAGGCTTTGAGGATCTATTTTCGCATTTCAAACTCTTAGGGCACCCCCTCATTCCTCACTCTCCCCAGATGACTTTTAGAGTTCCTTCAGGAGGACTTGAGTAATGCGCAATTTTCACAAGGTCAGTTTTCCCCAGGATTTTATTTTGGATTTCAAAGACTGATAAGACCTCCAGAAAATTTTGAGGACTGAGAATTTGTGCACATATATTTAATATATTGGCCAAAAGCCAGTCTTGGTGGCTCAAGCCTGTAGTCCCAGTACTTTGGGAGGCTGGTGGATCACCTAAGGTCAGAGGTTCAAGACCAGCCTGGCCAACATGGTGAAACCCCGTCTCTACTAAAAAGACAAAAATTAGCCGAGCATGGTGGCAGGTGCCTGTAATCCCAGCTACTTGGGAGGCTGGGGCAGGAGAATTGCTTGAACCTGGGAGGCAGAGGTTGCAGTGAGCCAAGATGGCACCATTGCACTCCAACCTGGGTGACAGCGCAAGACTCAGTCTCAAAAAATATATATATATGTGTGTGTGTGTGTGTGTGTGTGTGTGTGTGTGTGTGTGTGTGTATATATGCCCAAAAAAAGAACATGAACAATGAAACAAAACTACTACTGTATCGGGGCTATTATTGCTTTTTTAAAATATATTTTTAAGTATTTTATTTGTTATTTTTTACCTCCAAATACCATCACCATTTTATTTATTTTAATTATTATTACTTTTTTGAGACAGTCTATCTCATGGCTCACTGCAGCCTCAATCTCCCAGGTTCGAGCTCCTCTCACCTCAGTCTCCCATGTATTTGGGACCATAGGCAGATGCCACCATGCCCAGTTAATTTTTTTATTTTTTGTAGAGACAGAGGTCTCACTTTGTTGCCAGGTTGGTCTTGAACCCCTGACGGCCATTATTTCATAAAAGCACATTTTAACACCAAAGAAGTAGAAAAGACGTAATTTCAAAATAAATAATCACTTTTTAAATTAAATACATTTCTTTGACTGGGCAGTATGTTGAGACGCTACCTCTACTAAAAATACAAAAATTAGCCAGGCGTAGTGGCGCGCACCTGTAGTCCCAGCTACTTGGAGGGGGGCTGAGGCAGGAGACTCTTGAACCCAGGAAGCGAAGGCTGCAGTAAGCCAAGATTGTGCCACTGCACTACAGCCTGGGTGACGTCTCAAAAATTTTTTTGTTTAATAATAAATTTAATACATTTACCTTTAACAAAAACACTACTACATTATCCTTATTGTTTTCATTTTGCTGAAGACCAGTGAGAACATTGTCATGGAAACCACCACTTGGGCCACCAGAAAGATGCAGAAGAAAAGAAGTGAGACATTAAAGACTATCAGAGGAGGGGAAGGTGAAGGGGCAGGAAATAGGGGGTAAGAAGTCCACCAGCAAGGTGCTCCCCTGTCCTGAACTGACCCCCTTCTGCTCACTGAAGTCTGAGGTGGCCATGCCCACACGTCAGGCAGCTCAGTGATTCCCAGCGCTGGAGACCCTGGTGATATGGTTCCTACTCCCCCGCAATGCAGAGGCACTCTGGACACGTGCCTGTGACCAGTGCTGGCAGGCCATGGTACAGGAGAAAAAGCACAGGACTTGGAGTCAGGAGCAGAGCTAGGCCTGGCTCTGCTACTCACCAGCTGAGTCACTGGGAGAAGTCCTTGCCCTCTCTGGGCCTCAGCTTCCTCAACTGAAAATAAAGGTTCTGAACCAGTTGTTTTTGAGGAAACCAGAAGATCTCTGGCTTAAGAAAAAGAAAAAGAAAAAAAAAAAATCCATGTACATAATATTTTGTACAGAATTCCAGTGGCTTCACCACCCCTCAGAGCCTTCAGTGGGTTCCCCAGGGGCTGCCAACCCTGACACACAGTTGCTGGCCCCTTGCCTTCAAATTTGCCACTTTCCTAAGCAGTCAACAATACTTCTCAAGTGTCTAACGGTCATGGGGGTATGGGCAAAGGAAGCCAGTGAAGCAGTACAAGAAGTATCCGTCCTCAGGCCTCCTCTCCAGTTTACAAATGATCTGTGTGGATGTGTCGCTAGTTAGCCAAGGTAGCAGAACACACATATGAAGAGAGCTCAGACCACGACTGCTGGACCCCCCTTACTAGTTAATGATGGGAACCCCCTTACTAGGGGCAAAGCCCTCTGGCCGCTCCCAGTGTAGTTTAGTGGTAAGAACTTGGACCCACGAGCTAGAATGCCCTGGATTTATATCTGACTCTGCCATTTAATCTTGTTACTTGGGCAAGTAACTTTATCTTGAGCCTTCAGTTTCCTAGTCTGTAAAACAGAGCTAAGAGTTACACAGCAGAAATGAGAGTAGATGCTAAATATTCCAAGACTCCCTTGAATTTCCCAGCCTCCCTTGCAGAAGGTTAGAAGGTTGGGATCATGTGACTAGTTCCAGCAGGTGGTTTGTGAATGGAGAAGGCAGGTCTTCCATGGAGACCTTGGACGCTAGTTTTTTTTGTTTGTTTGTTTGTTTTGTTTTTGAGACAGGGTCTCACTCTGTTGCCCATGCTGGAGTGCAGTGGAGCGATCATAACTCACCGCAGCCTCAGCCTCCCGAGTAGCCAGGACTACATGCATGTGCCACCATGTCTGGCTAATTTCTTAAATTTTTTTTTGTAATGATGAGGCCTCACTATATTGTCCAGGGCTGGCCTTGAACTCCTGAGCTCAAGAGACTCGGTCGGGCATGGTGGCTCCCACCTGTAATCCCAGCACTTTGCGGAGGTTGCAGTGAGCTGAGATTGTGCCATTGCACTCCAGCCTGGGCAATAGTGTGAGACTCTGTCTCAAAAAAAAAAAAAAAAAAAAAGAGAGAGATCCTATCTCCTTGGCCTCCCAAAGTGCTGTGAATACAGGTGTGAGCCACCATGCCCAGCCATAGGCAAGTCTTATAGATGGTGTGGCTACAGGATGGAAGAAGGGTCTCTTGCCCCAAATCAGACTTTGCATAAAGCATTATTGTGCCAAGCCATGAAATTCCAGGAGTTCTGTTGTGACAGCCAGTGTTAATTACTCTGTGACAGCTAGTGTTAGTACAGGGAGGGCTCACGGAAATAATGGATACAGGGCCCTCTGAGTGTGGTGGGGGCTGTTATTCTTGGCTGTTATTCCCCACCAAGACAGGATTTCTCAGTCCATTTCTTAAGCAAAACTTCAAAAGTAGAAGCAGGCTGGGAGTGATGGCTCACGCCTGTAATCCCACCAGTTTAGGAGGCCTAGGCAAGAGGATCTCTAGAGCCCATGAGTTCAAGACAGCCTGGACACATAAGGAGAACCTGTCTCTATAACAAATATTAACAATACAAAATTAAAAAAAAAAAAAGAAATTAAAAAAAGCAGAAGCAGGCAGGCGGGGTGAGGTGGAAGCTTCATCCATAGGGAAGTCCTGAGGAAGACCTGCCTCCCCCAGTTCCAGGATTGCGCTGTGCAGCTCTCCCTTAACCCTCTTCCCCATTCTGAGTTTTCTTCTCTTCCCACCCCTCCATTTTGCCCCCACATCTTGACTTTCACACAATTCACAGATGAATCCTTAGACAATTAATAAAATGATTAGGACTGCACGAGATTTAAGACTTAGAGACCATCTTGTCCCACCTCCTGGTTCTTACAGAAGAGGAGAATGGGGCCTGCAGCGGGTGTGAGCAGCCCAGAGGGTGGGGCTGGATTATCCTGAAGTTAAGGGGAGGATCTGGGGTTGCAAGGGCAGACAGAAAATCAGCAGCAGGAAGGAAGCTCTTTTTCTTTCAGCATATATGTTTTGTGCCGTTTATAAAAATAAAATTTTTGAGGCCAGGTGCGGTGGCTCACACCTGTAATCACAGCACTTTGGGAGGCTGAAGCAGGATGATCACTTGAGGCTAGGAGTTCGAGACCAGCCTGGGCGACATGGGAGACCCCCGTCTCTACAGAAATTTTAAAAATTAGCTGGGTGTGGTGGCGCACACCTATAGTCCCAGCTACTCGGGAGGCTGAGGCAGGAGGATCACTTGAACCTGGGAGGCAGAGATGGCAGTGAGCCGAGATCGCGCCACTGCACTTAAGCCTGGGCGACACTGTGAGACTCCGTCCGTAAAATAAATAAATACAATAAAAACATAGTTTTATCTTACAGTTTCAAGCTTCTACTTGGAAGTAACACGTATGGAGGCCCCTACAGTCTAGAATCCCAGCCGTGAGAGCCTGAGCGTCCGTTCCTCCCTCCTTCCCTTCCGCAGGCGTCCGCGCCCTCCACGCCCCTCCTCCGCGGGGGCGGCCTGGGGCGCCGGGTCACGTGGCCGGGGAAGAGGGTTTATCCCGCTGCCCCTCCGAGCCCCGCCGCTGCTCTGCCGCCCAGGCCCATGGCCGCAGCCCTGGCGCTCGTGGCGGGGATCCTGGCGGGGGCGGCGATGCCCCTCTGGAGCGCGCTTCCGCAATATAAAAAGGTGAGGCAGGGAACGCGCCCAGCCCGCCGCGACCGCAGGGGAGGGTGGCCCCGCCGCGGGGTCAGTGGAGCCCGAAGGCGCCGGGCAGCCTGAAAGGGAGAGGTGGGTCCGGAACCACACGTAGGCGGGCAAGCTTGGGGCATCCTCAGACGGACTTCAAAATCCGCTTCACTCTCCCCTGGCGGCCTCGAGGGGAGAGAAATTGGCCTATGACCAGCACCCTCGCTCCCCCCACCTCCCCCGCCCGTGCCTCTTCCGATGGCCTCAGTCCTGGGCTCACTTGCCTCCCCAAAGTGCTCACAGCCAAACCCTCCCTGCCTGCTCTGGTTTCTCCTCCTCTTCCTCCGCCTCGCCTCACTGTCTAGTGATTCTTCCAGGCACGAGGGCTGTCCCCTCTTCTCTTTCTCTCCCTCTTTTTCGAGCCTGCAGTCCCCTCATTCTCACCCCCCAACCCCGCCCCGCAAAATGGGACACACCCTATGGGACTCATAGAGGTGAGGGCGGTCCAGGAAAGGAGAGGCCGAAGGAAAAGTGCTAACCCCCCTCTCCTCTCCTCTGCTCCCCTGGGTCCTGCTGAGGGGCCGGGGTGGGGCTGGGGGGGGGGACCAGTCCCCCCAGGGGGCGACAACCTCATAACTTCTCCTGGACCCCTGGGCTCTTTGGCAATGGTGGGAACCCTCTCCTACCCTCCCACGCAACTCGGATTGTCCCCAACCTGGCAGACATCCTGCCTGTCCCCACAGAAAATCACAGACAGGTGCTTCCACCACTCTGAGTGCTACAGTGGCTGCTGCCTCATGGACTTGGAATCCGGTGGAGCCTTCTGTGCCCCCAGGGCCAGAATAACCATGATCTGCTTGCCCCAGGTGAGGCCCTAGGATGGGGCAACTTCTGGCAAGTAGAGAAGCGGGCAGAGGAGGTTAAAAAAAAAAACACCTGGCCCCACCTGTTTTTTCACCTCTGTCTGGGGTGCCCTTCCTCTTCTCCACTTGGCAAACTCCTACTCATGGTACAAAACAACTCCAGCCACCTCCTCTGAGAAGCCTTCCCTCCTTGGAGCTCCTGTACCCTGGGGTCAGACATGTATCTCCCTAACTGGCCATGTATTTTCTCTGCCTCTCCCAGTGATTAGAACTCTTCAAGGGCAGGGATTGCATCATATTCATCTATGAAGCACCTACCCCCAGCTTAGTGTCTGCACATAGTAGGTGCTCAATAAATGCTTATTTTTGTTTGTTTATTTTGAGATGGAGTCTCGCTCTGTCACCCAGGCTGCAGTGCAATGGCATGATCTTGGCTCACTGCAACCTCTGCCTCCTGGGTTCAAGCAATTCTTGTGCCTCAGCCTCCTGAGTAGCTGGGATTACAGGGATGCACCACTATGCCTGGCTAATTTTTATATTTTTGGTAGAGATGGGGTTTTGCCATGTTGGCCAAGCCGGTCTCGAACTCCTGACCTCAGGTGATCCACCTGCCTGGGCCTCCCAAGGTGCTAGGAATATAGGCATGAGCCACTGTGCCCAGCCAATAAATGCTTGTTGAATGAATGAATATCTCTTCTCTCATGTCACTGAGGCAGGGTAAGTAGGAAATGACCTTCCCCTTACTAGTCCCCATCTCCCTGCCACAGTGACATGATTTCTTGAGAGGAGCATGGCGCTGTAGTGGCAGGACCACAGCTTTGGAGTTGGACCTGAGTTTAAATCCTGACTTTTCCACACCCTATCTTTGTGACCTCAAGCAGGTCATCATGGCTCTCTGAGCCTTAGTTTCCTCATCTACAAGGAGAGGCTAAAGTACCTACCTCACCAGGCTGTTGGGAAGATTATGTGGCCCTGGGAAGGACAGCGTGCAGACCAGCGTGGTTGTCACTCATTTTTAGGAATGCAGGGAGAATAATGCTCAGTATGCCCTGTTCCTGCTCACCTGGCCCTGGGCCCAAACCTTTCTAGGATGGGTGGGCTCAGCCTGTATGTCCCTGTGTGGGGAGATGACAATACCCTAAGGAAGCAGCAGGGCCCCTACCATGGCCTGACCCTGCAGCTGAAGTGGCTAGAGGGTTTTGTTGTTTTTTTTTTTTTTGAGACAGTTTCGCTCTTGTTGCCCAGGCTGGAGTGCAATGGCGTGATCTTGGCCCACTGCAACCTCCGTCTCCTGGGTTCAAGCAATTTCTCTACCTCAGCCTCTGGAGTAGCTGGGATTACAGGCATGCGCCACCATACCCAGCTAATTTTTGTATTATTAGTACATGACCACGTTGGCCAGGCTGGTCTCAAACTCCTGACCTCAGGTGATCCACCCGCCTCGGCCTCCCAAAGTGCTGGGATTACAGGGGTGAGCCACCGCGCCCGGCCTAAAGGGTCTTTTTATTATCACCACTTGATCTGCTCTATCTCATTTAGTCCTCACAACAACCCTATGAGGTGGGTTGCTATTACTGTCCCCATTTGACAGATGAGGAAACTTCATTGACTTGCTGAAGGTCATGCAGTTACAAGCTGTAGAGACAGCCTAGGTCTGTCTTACTCCAGCCCTGGTACTCTTGGTTCTGGTCCCTAAGAAGTTTAAGTCCCCATCCTTCCTGCATCCTGGTGACTCCCAATTCTCATACACACTCCCTGCAGACCAAGGGAGCTACCAACATCATCTGCCCTTGCCGGGTGGGCTTGACATGCATATCCAAGGACTTGATGTGTGCCAGCCGGTGCCATATGATTTAGAGGAAGATGCAGACTGATCACTGCTCCCTTGGGGCCAGAGGCCCTGGGTGCCACCAACTTGCACCAAATCCAGCTCCTGAGACATTAAAGTCACTTCCTGGCCTGGCCTCTGTCTGTACTTTCTGGGCGAGGAGACCTGGTGGGGATTGTACCAGTCTAGGGGACAGGCAAAAGGGGAGACTGGAGGCATGAATGAGCTTCTCATGGGATTTGGCTCTGTCCGGAGCTCAGGGTAGAACTCCAGGAAGGGAATGGCGCAGGGAGGGTGTGGTGGAGCAGGGGCTGGGGCTGGGAAAGGGCCGATTCTCTGGTTGGAGGGCTGGAGGGCTGTGTGGAAGAGATGGGATTGAGGAATATGCCTGTAGAGTGTACGTTGGGGTGCATATTGAGGGGTGTGTGGTAGGTAGAGACTAGGTGGAGGTATCTGAATGTTTCACGGGGCGGGCTGGGGGGCACAAAAGGGTAGAGGTCATTAGAGAGTTGGTGAGAATGTGCAAAGTATAAATGCAAAAATGCCTGTGGTGGGAAAGGGACCTGGTGCATCGATGCCTCCGCTCTCCCAGGTATTGTCAGTTCCACTGCATGGACAAAGAAACTGAGGCCCAGAGAAGCGACATGACTTGCCCTAGGTCATATAATTGCGGTAGCAGTGAGGCCTTTTTCTGCTGCAAGTATCTTAAAAACCAACCCAAATTGGTCTAGGTGAGGAGGGGATTTCCTGGTGATCAAAAGTGGAAGTCCAGAGGTCAGGCAGCCCTCAGGTGGGGCCAGAGCCAGCAGCTCTCAGGCTGAATTCCTTCCCAGTACTCACAGACATTCCAGGTGTCACCTAATAACAGGTAGGATTTATTGAGCACTTCCTGTGTTCCAGACACTGTGCGAGGTGCTTTCTTTTTCATTTAATTAAAAAATTTAAGACAGCACCCAGACTGGGGTGCAGTGGCTCAATCACAGCCTACTGCAGCCTCAACCCCCTGGGCTCAAAAGATCCTCCCACGTCAGCCTCCCAAGTAACTGGGACTACAGGTGTGTGCCACCATGCCTGGCCAATTTCTTTCTTTCTTTCTTTTTAATAGAGACAGGGCCTCAGTATATTGCCCTGGCTGGTCTCGAACTCCTGGGTTCAAGTGATCCTCCTGCCTCAGCCTCCCAAAGTGCTGGGATTACAAGCATGAGCCACTGCGCCTGGCCCAAAGTGCTTTCTTAACTGTATTGACTCATCTTTTTGTCACAACAGGGCTATAGTAGGTGTTATAATTATCCGTATTTTACAAACAGGGTATTGAGGCTCCTAGAGTAAGGGTTGGAACTGAAACTTGAACCCAGACAATCCTGCCCCAGAGGCTAGGCTCTTAACCACAAATCCACCATGTACATCAATATTGTGCCTTTCAGAGAAAGAAAACATCTCTGTTCCACAATTCTCAGCAAACATCCTAAGATCGGTTCTGATTGGATTGGCTTAGTCTGCCTGAACTAATCATTGTGGTGGAATTTGCTGATTGGCCTAGCCTGAGTTTTGTGCAGGATGGGAAAATTCTGACAGGGTTGGGTGCTGGTTTTACCTGGTGTTCCCACAGCTGGGAGCACACCCACATGGTTGGTGTGCAGGATATTTTGCTGGACCTTAGAAAAGCCACCACCACTTGTGGGCCATGATGCTACCCCAATGGCTACTGCTGCTGTTCCTTCTATTCTCCTTTCTCTTCCTCCTCACCAGGGGCTTTCTCCAACAAAATACAACCTTTTGGTAAGAAAGCTGGAGAGTGCAGTCACCTCCTCCTCTGCTGTCCTAAGGCCTGTACTATTTGGGGAAGTGAGTGGGCATGGAGGCTGGTGTGGGAGAAGGCCAGAAGTGGGGGCAGCAGGGAGTGTTGGGTGGAGGATGTCTCGGAGGAAAGAGAAGACACCCTGGTCCTGGTAGCCGTGCCAGGGCAGTGCCAGGTGCTGCTGCCACAGAGGTGAAAGTGAGAGACCCCCCCTGCCCACGCACACATGTGGTGAGGGAGACAGGTATTCACTCATGCAACACATTTTTATTGAGTACCTGCTATATGTAAATTATTTTTCTACATTTAGTGATTGGTCTGTGAGCAAGAAAGATAAAAATCTTTGCCCTTGTGGAGCGGTCACTGTAGTGTGTGAGGCAAAGAAGTAAAACCTTACAATAGATGTTGTTAATAATGGCATCTATCTCAGGTGATAAGCAAGGAAAGTGAAAATAAGAAACGGGCTAGGGATGTGGTGGTATGAGAAGGGTTTGCAGGGTTTTTTGTTTGTTTGTTGGTTTGTTTTTTTTGAGACGGAGTCTTGCTTTGTCACCCAGACTGGAGTGCAGTGGGGCAATCCCAGCTCACTGCAACCTCCGCCTCCTGAGTTCAAACGATTCCCCTGCCTCAGCCTCCCAAGTAGCTGGGATTGCAGGCACCCACCACCATGCCCAGCTAATTTTTTTTTTTTTTTTTTTTTTTTTGTATTTTTAGTAGAGACAGGGTTTCACCGTATTGGTCAGGCTAGTCTTGAACTCCTGACCTCAAGCAATCCACCTGCCTTGGCCTTCTAAAGTGCTGGGATTACAGGCATGAGCCACAGCACCCGGCCAGCGTTTGCAGTTTTAAATGGGGTGCTCAGGGAAGAGCTTACTAGGAATGGGAAATTTTAGCAAAGGCCTACAGGGAGAGAAGTCCTTCCTAACGGGCAAAGCAGGCAGGTCTCTGGGAGAAGAGCGTTCCAGATGGAGGGAACAGCCAGGACAAAGGTCTGGGGGTGGAAATGTGCTGACATATTCAAGGAATAGCAAAGAGGAGTGAGAGAGAGTGGAAATCGTGGGAGATGAGATCAGAGAGATAAATGGAACAGAGTTACAATATTCTCATTTATTCAACAGTTATTCATTCAGCACCTGCAATGTGTAAGGACTTTAGTCCAAGGGGCTAAGAAATACAGCAGTGAATATGAGAGCAGAAGATCTGTGTCCTAGAGCTGAGGTGCTAGCAGGGGGAGATCAATTATTTTTTAAACATATAAATAAGATGATTTCAGAGAGTCGTAAGTGTTGTGACCAAAGTACAACCAGGTGTTGGGGACTGCTCTGCTGGTGTCCAGGAAGTCTTCAGCCCGAGGCAGGAGCGGGAGACAGCCGGGCAAAGAGTGCAGGACAGGCTGCTCTGGGCAGAGGGCCAGCAAGCACAGATGCCCTGGGGTCAGGCCAGGTGTGGATTCAGAGCCCCAGTGATGGCTTTGAATCCAGAGAATGACATTGTGGAAATTATCTTTTAAAAAAGACTCCTCTAGCTTTTCTGGGAAGAACTGACTTGAGGAGGTTGGGGAGGTGGAAGCGAGAATGGGGATGGTGAGGGGGCACCTGGGGGAGGTCACTGGCAAGGGTGGAAGCAGGGAGGCTGGGAGGCGGCTATAGCCAGTCCTCCATTCCTGCTTTATTTTCTTTATAGCACGTAATCACACATAATAGGATTATACATATATAATATAAATATTACTTGCTTTATATATATAACATATATGGTAAAAATTACACCTAACTAGGTGCCCAAATCTTGAGTTTACATAGAAATCAATGGATTTGAATCTATGCAGACCCCCTCATCACTGCCATCAGAACAAGATATAGGACATTTTCAGCACCCCAAAAGGCTCACTCTCCCCTAGTCAATAGAACCAAAGGCAACTGTCTCCTGACTTCCATTATTATTATTATTATTATTATTATTTTTGAGATGGAGTCTCGCTCTGTCGCCCAGGCTGGAGTGCAATGGCGCAATCTCGGCTCACTGCAAGCTCCACTTCCCAGGTTCACACCATCCTTCTGCCTCAGTCTCCTGAGTAGCTGGGACTATAGGTGTCCACCACTACGCCTGGCTAATTTTTTGTATTTTTAGTAGAGACAGGGTTTCTCCGCGTTAGCTAGGATAGTCTCGATCTCCTGACCTCGTGATCCACCCACCTCGGCCTTCTAAAGTGCTGAGATTACAGGCATGATTACACCGTGCCCAGCGACTTCCATTATTATAGACTGATTTTGAACTTTGTATGATAAAATCATACAGTATGTACTTAAAAAAAAAAAAAAAAATCTGGGTCAGGCGCAGTGGCTCACGCCTGTAATCCTAGCACTTTGGAAGGCCGAGGCAGGTGGATCACCTGAGGTCAAGAGTTCGAGACCAGCCTGACCAACATGGTGAAATCCCATCTCTACCAAAAATACAAAATTAGCTTGGCATGGTGGCACATGCCTGTAATCCCAGCTACTTGGGAGGCTGAGGCAGGAGAATTGCTTGAACCCGGGAGGCGGAGGTTGCAGCGAGCCAAGATTGTGCCATTGCACTCCAGCCTGGGCAGTAGAGTGAGACTTTGTCTCAAAAAAAAAAAAAAAAGCGGGGGGTGTGCAGGGTGCGGTGACTCATGCCTGTAATTCCAGCACTTAGGCCGAGGTGGGCGGATCACAAGGTCGGGAGATCGAGACCATCCTGGCTAACACAGTGAAACCCCGTCTCTAATAAAAATACAAAAAAAATTATCTGGGCATGGTGGTGGGCACCTGTAATCCCAGCTACTCAGGAGGCTGAGGCAGGAGAATGGCATGAACCCGGGAGGCACAGCTTGCAGTGAGCTGAGATTGCACCACAGCACTCCAGCCTGGGCGATAGGGCGAGAATCCAGCTCCAAAAAAAAAGAATCTGACTTATTTTGCTCAACGTTTTATCTGTGACACCCTATCATTTCACTTATGTATCTCTTCCCTGTCTTCCCTCTTTAGAGCTTTACTTGTCCAATAGTGCAGTTACTAGTGTGAACCCAAAATATCTGAGACAGGTCTCAGTCAATTTAGAAAGTTTATTTTGCCAAGGTTAGGGACACACCCGTGATACAGCATCAGGTGGCCGGGGTGCACCTTGCTTTTTTTTGTTTTGTTTTGTTTTGTTTTTTGGGGTACAGCTTGCTTTTGTACACATTAGGGAGACACAGTACATCAATCAGTACATGTAAGGTTTACATTTGTTCAATGTGGAAGGGCGGGACAACTTGAAGTGGGGGGCGTGACTTCCGTTCCAGGTCATAGGTAGGTTTAAACATATTCTGATTGGCAATTGGTTGAAAGAGCTATTATCAGCAGAAGGGAATGTCTGGGTTAAGATAAGGGCTTGTGGAGACCAAAATTTTATCATGCAGATGAAGCCTCCAGGAACAGGCTTCCTAGAAAATAGATTGTACATGTTTCTGATCAGACTTAAGGTCTTTGTTAATGGTAATGCTGAATGGGGTATTAATGAGGCATGTCCAGCCCCCACTTCCCATCATGGCCTGAACCAGTCTTTCAGGTTAAATTTTAGAGTGCTCTGGCCAAGGAGGGAGTCCATTGAGATGGCTGTGGATTGGTGGTGGTGGGAGGCTTCAAATTTTATTTTTGGTTTACACTAGCCACATATAGTTACTTAGATTTAAATTTATGAAAATTCAACAAAATTTAAAATTCAGGCCAGGTGTGGTGGTTCATGGCTGTAATCCCAACATTTTGGGAGGCCAAGGTGGGAGGATTGTTTGAGCCCAGGGGTTCAAGACCAATCTGGGCAACAAAGCGAGACTCCTGTCTCTTACTGGTGGAAGGTATCTGAGTTATTGGCAATGAATCTGCATGCATTTGCAGCAACCTCAATTCTTGCCTCCTCAGAAGAAAGAATTTGACTGAGGGGCATAAAGCAGACAAAGAGACTGAGGCAGGTTTCAGAGCATGAGTGGAAGTTTATTAAAAAGCTTTAGAGCAGGAAAGAATGGAAAGTACACTTGGAAGAGTCCCAAGTGTGCAACTTGAAGGACAAGTGCAGTGTTTAACCTTGGCCACCTCCAGCGTCGTGTGCCTCTCTCCCCTGATTCTTCCCTTAGGGTGAGCTGACCACATGTGCAGTGTCCTCCTTACCCTTGGGAAGTGAGCACACGCAGTGTGTTTAGGAAGTTGTACACATGCCTGTCTGAGACTTTCTTCCCTTTTCCAGTGGAGTGCGCCCACAGAAATTCATACTCCTCCATTTTTTCTCTTAATGTGCGTTCCCGGGCTCACTCGCCCACCACCTGAGATTTTACTGGAAGCCCTTTTTGCTTCTCTCTGGCCCCTGCATTCAGTGAACACTTTAATGTTAACAGCTATGGACCATTAGGAGATTGTCTCTCCCTGGAGCCTAGCTGCCAAATTGTCATTTTTGGAGAGGCAATGTGATAACTGTTGAACCATCACCTGACATTCCTGATGGGAGGGGGAGAGCCCTCTCCTACCCCGCTCATGCCTGTCTAACTACCTGTAACATCTCTACAAAAATAGAAAAATTAGCTGGGCATGGTGGTGTATGCCTGTGGTCCCAGTTACGTGGGAGGCTGAGGCAGGAGGATTGCTTGAACCCAGAGGCTGAGGCTACAGTGAGCCATAATTGCACCACTGCACTCCAGCCTCGGTGACAGAGTGAGAACTTGTCCAAAAAAAAAAAAAAAAAAAAAGGAAAGGAAAGAAAGAGGGCTGGGCACGGTGGCTCACAGCTGTAATCCTACTAGCACTTTGGGAGGCCGAGGCAGGTGGATCACCTGAGGTCAGGAGTTCGAGACCAGCCTGGCCCATGGTGAAACCGTGTTTCTACTAAAAATATAAAAATTAGCCGGGCATGGTGGTGCACGGCTGTAATCGCAGCTACTGGGGAGGCTGAGGAAGGAGAATTGCTTGAACCCAGGAGGTGGATGTTGCAGTGAGCCAAGATCGCGCCACTGCACTCCAGCCTGCGCGATGGGAGCGAGACTACATCTCAAAAGAAAAAAAAAAAAAAAGAAGAAAAGAAAAGAAAGAAAAAAGTTTTAAATTCAGCTCCTCAGTTGCACTACCATATTTCAAGTGCTCAGCAGTGGCTAGTGGCTATTGGACTGAGCAGAAAAAACACATTTTCATCACTGCAGAAAGCTCTGTTGGACAGTGCTGCTCCGGAATGTCAGCTGCAGGTGGACAGGGATTTCTGTTTTTGTTGTTCCCAGCTGTATTCCCAGTGCCTGGAACAGTGCCTGGCACACAGTAGGTGCTCAGTATTTGCCTGTTGAATGACTACTGAAATTGTCAGAGATGATGGGTGGCTGTGATCAATAATGTTAATTACTGTCCTAAGCCCCAATACTGGGTGGAGGTCATTGATGTGTGTGGTGGGGGGGAGTGGGGGGGGAATGTAGGTGACCATCAGCCACCGGTGAAAGGGTAAGTATGCGTTTTCGGGAGAGAAGACTGCAGCAGAATGAAGTGCAAGAGAGAGACAGGGAAGTCTAGACCACCCTGGTGTGTATGAGAAGCAGCCTGTGTTGAGGGCACCAAGAGTAAACCTTTTAAAAACCGTTCAGTCCCCTCCAGGTACCCTCCATCTGTACAGACTTACCCTGGCCCCCACGTAGAGACCGCCCTGCCTGGCAGGAGCCAGAGATGATGGTGGGAACACAGTCTGGGGAGAGCCCCGTAGGGAGAAAGCCCCGGGCGGCGAGGGCGGAAGGCGGGCGGTGGAGCTTGGCGGGGCCGTGTGCCTCCCTGCAGGACCTCAAGGAGATTTGCATCCGGAACCAGGACTGCCAGACTGGGTGCTGCCGACGGGCTCCAGACATCTGCGAGTCGCACTGCACGGAGAAGGGGTCCGAGGGCAGCCTGTGTCAAATGCTGGTGGGTATCGGCGCCTGGGGGGAGCCAAAGGGGATTCAGGGGAAGGGGGAGCCAGGGCGGGCCAGATTCTTGGGGAGGAAAGAAGGGTAGGTGGGCGCAAATGTACCGGAGCCTGGAATTCCCCCGTGGGACTGCACCTCCAAGCCTTCTGGGGGAGCCTGTGGACGGAACCAAAATGGCAGCCCACCCTAGGATCTTGGAATCCTGGTTGGGGGCGGGGAGGGGATGCTTCACTCCCTAATGTGGGTTCTCATTCTCCAGGGGTCCTCTCAGCAAGTGCCGAAAGTAGTACAGTAAATGGGCACAGCTAGGTCTGGCCTCTGCCCCAGAGCCCCGTCTTCATCCAGTACAGGAGTTCTGCTGTGGCCCCGTGTGTTCCTAGTGGAGGATGGGCAGAGGCAGCCTCTGAGCTGGGTGGGTAGGGGAGGGAGTGGATTTGCCCATAGAAGGATTTAAAGACAAAACATGGAGGCCTTACAATGGTGTGTTCATGGACTGAGGACAGGCAGATGGATCAGTGACAGGCAGGGTTACAAGGGCTGGAGCCGGGAGGGCACTGAGCAATCCAGGAGCCAGCCTGGAGAAGGCAGCCAGAGGTGCCACTCTGAGCAGCTGTCAAGTTATCCTTTATCCCTGGCTCCTGGCTGTGGGCAAGCACGGAGGCCCTGGAGCTGGGCTGGGCTGGGCTTGGGGGCTCAGGGACGAGCTGCCCGCAAGGTCGAGGTCAAAGTCTTGTCTTTCCTAGGCATTCTTTGGCCAATATAGACAGTGTCCCTGCCTGCAGAACCTGACTTGTGTATATTGGAAGAGTGAGAAATGGTCTGCCATTGCCTATGGCCGTTGTAAGAAAATTGGAAGGCAGAAGCTGGCTAAGAAAATGTTCTTCTAGCGCTCCCTCCTTCTTGCTGCCTCCTCCTACACCTGCTGTCCTCCCTACCCAGAGCTCTGTGCTCTGCCCTGTTCCCCAGAGCCTCTGCCCTGAGTGGAGGGAAGGGGGAAGGAGTGATGCGCCATCATTGAAATAAAGAGCTTTTTTAATGTTTGCTGCCCACAGAGTTGGGGCCTGGGTGGGCTGGGCTGGGGTGGGCATGGTGCAGGTTTCGGGGGGGCGGGAGGTGATATGAGGGAGGAAGCAGGAAGGGACACTGTTGGGCTTGGGGTCTTTTCCCAGTTGGGGCATGAATGAAAGTTCCCCAGAGGAGACCAAAGCTCCCTTCCCACCCCAACCCCTTTCTGCCTTCCGCCCACTCTGTAATCTACTCCCTGAAAGCCCAGTTCACACGTGATATTTCAGTTCCACGACCTTAAATTTCAGAAATGTGAAAGAAGGTACACAAAACATCCATGTGTATGAAGAATTGATGATGTTTATGGAGCACTTACTAGATGTTAGGGGCAGCTCTAGGTGCCTTATGCACATGATCTCATCTCGTCCCACAGCAAACCTGTGGGGTCTGTCCTGTTACCACCTCTGTTTTGCAGGTAGGGACACAGGGGTTGAGCAACTTGTTCAAGGTCACACAGTTGGAAAGTGCAGAATCTGAATCTTCTGGGAGGCAAGAGAAAAGAGGGACAAGAAAAGAAGAAAGGAAGGAGAGCCTAGGAAAGAGTGAGAAAGAAAGACTGGAGCAGTGACTGTGGTGTGGGGTTGGGGAGAATGAGTCAAGTGGAGTTTTAGGAAGTCTCAGTGTGTGGTGAGGCTTTTCGAGTTAGATGATAGCTCGCTTGTTTGTGCGTGGTGCCTGTTATATTCAGGTTACATTTTGGAGTTAATTATTTCAGATTTTGGACCTAAGGTTCCACATTCAGCCACCAGAACTGAGCCAAACGTGCGGTCCTGGATGTTGGGCTTAGGATGCAAGGGCTGGGGAGTTTGGAGGTAATCTATGGTTGTACTTAGAACACCCCCTTGTAAGTCACAGCAAAACAATGTGAACCATACCTTGGTAGAATATGCTGTCCTGTACTAACTGTATCAGACTGATAACCAGACTTCCATTGTGTTACATGAGCTCTCCCCATTCAGAGAAAACCTATGAAGGAGAGGTGGCAAGCTGGAAACCCAATGATACCCAGTGTCTAAGAAGTTCCCAAGGATACCCAATGTCTAAGAAGTTAGAAGGGGAAGGGGAGAATACAGAGCCCAGAAATAAACCCAAGCCTGTACAGTCAATTAAGTTTCAACAAGGGCACCAAGAAGACACCCTAGGGAAAGGATAGTCTTTTCAATAAATGGTGTTGGGAAAACTGAATATTCACATGCCAAAGAATGGAATTGGACCCTTATCTTATAGCACATACAAAAATAAACTCAAAATTGATTAAAGACCTAAATATAAGACCCGAAACCTTAAAACTCCTAGAAGAAAATATAGGGGAACTATTACACGACATTAGTTTTGACAGTGATTTTTTGGATAAGACACCAAAAGCACAGGCAACAATAGCAAAAATAAACACATGAGACTACATGCTGAAAAGCTCTGGACGCAGCGCAGTGGCTCATGCCTGTAATTCCAGCACTGTGGGAGGCCAAGGGGTGTGGATCGTCTGAGGTCAGGAGCTCGAGACCAGCCTGGCCAACATGGTGAAACCCCATCTGTACTAAAAATACAAAAATTAGGCTGGGCGCAGTGGCTCATGCCTGTAATCCCAGCACTTTGGGAGGCTGAGGCGGGTGGAACACGAGGTCAGGAGATCGAGACCATCCTGGCTAACACGGTGAAACCCCGTCTCTACTAAAAATACAAAAAATTAGCCAGGTGTGGTGGCGCATGCCTGTAATCCCAGCTATTCAGGAGGCTGAGGCAGGAGAATCACTTGAACCCGGGAGGCGGAGGTTGCAGTGAGCCGAGATCGTGCCACTGCATTCCAGCCTGGGTGACAGAGTGAGACTCTCTCCAAAAAAAAAAAAAAAAAGGAAAAAGAAAATACATTTAATGGGTAGGTATGGTGGCTCGTGCCTGTAATCCCAGCACTTTGGGAGGCTGAGGTGGATGGATTGCTTGAGCCTAGGAGTTCAAGACCAGCCTGGGCATCATGGTGAAACCCCATCTCCACTAAAAATATAAAAAAATAAGTCCAGGCCTGGTGGCTCATGCCTGTAATCCTAGCACTTTCGGAGGCCGAGGTGGGCAGATTGCCTGAGCTCAGGAGGTCGAGACCAGCCTGTGCAATACAGTGAAACCCCATCTCTACTACAAATACAAAAAAAAAAAAAAAAAAAATTAGCTGGATGTGGCGGCATGCGCCTATAGTCACAGCTACTCAGGAGGCTGAGGCAGGAGAATTGCTTGAACCTGGGAGGTGGAGGCTGAAGTGAGCCAAGATCGTGCTATTGCACTCCAGCCTAGGCAACAGAGAGAGACTCCATCTCCACCCCCAGCCAAAAAAAAAAAAAAAAAAAAAAAAAATTAGCCAGGTATGGTGGCACAGGCCTGTAGTTCCAGCTACTTGGGGGACTGAGTGGGGAGGATCGCTTGAGCCCAGGATGTCAAGGCTGTAGTGAGCCATGATCATGCCACTGAATTCCAGCCTGGGTGACATAGTGAGATCCTGTCTCAAAAAAAAAAAAAAAAGCATTTAACACACCTAACCTACTGAACATCATAGCTTAGCTTAACCTACCTTAAATGTGCTCAATCAGAGTGCTTACATTAGCTGAGCAAAATAACACAAAACCTATTTTAGAATAAAGTGTCAAGTATCTCATGTAATTTACTGATGTTCTACTGAATGCATGTCACTTTCACACCATCATAAGGTTGAAAAATAGTCAAACCATTGTAAGTTGGGACCATCTGGTTCTTTGAGCTGTGGTTAGACTATGCCTCTGCTGTGCAGGCGTGTGATGCTGAAAAGCAACAGAAATTGAGAGTCTACAGCAGTACTGGCCGTTGGAAACAAAATGCAAGCTATATAAAGGTTGGGCTCTTGGTCACTTGCTTCTGCAGAGCCCAAAGCCCAACTGCCTACTTACTTTTGGAGACCAGGGACATTTTTCTTATGCCCCCCACAGTCCAAAACATGGTGCCAGGCACACTATGGTCATTCAGTGAACACATGAAGAGGACATGAATGCAGATCTCCAGGACGGAATGTGGCACCAAGAAGCATGACTCAGCCCTGCCTCAGGGCCTGAGACTCCTCCTGGGTTAAGGTATTGAAAGTTTCTCTTGTTGAGCACATAATTCACAGACACCATTACCTGGTTTCCTAATAGCCATTGCCCCCTTCCCTGCCAACTGAAACCCAACATTGTTTGGGCATCAATATGCCTGGCCCCAGGAGAAGGATCTTATTCCCTTTGCCTTCCCAGCATCCCTTGCAGCTAGAGGTAGTCAGATAACCAAGTTCTAGCCTCTGAGGTAAGAAGAGAAGTCGGCCTTGAGCATTTGGGGAAAGACAAGAAGAGAGCATGGGCCAGGCACCATGGCTCACACCTGTAATCCCAGCACTTTGGGAGGCCAAGGCAGGTGGATCACCTGAGGTAAGGAGTTCAAGACCAGCGTGGCCAAAATGGTGAAACCCCGTCTCTACTAAAAATACAAAAAATTAGCTGGGTGTGGTGGCAGGTGCCTGTAGTTCCAGCTACTCGGGAGGCTGAAGGCAAGAGAATTGCTTGAACCCAGGAGGTGGAAGTTTCAGGGAGCCGAGATCACGCCACTGCACTCCAGCCTGGGCAACAAAAGCGAAACTTCGTCTCAAAAAAAAAAAAAGAGGGTGTGCAAGAAGAAACTCTCTGCTCCTTCTCCCCCCTTCCCAGCCACCGACTACTCCATGCTTCCTGCCTTTGAGTATGGTGGGAACATGAAGTCAGGAGCTGCTCCTAAGGCATGTGGCAACCTTGAAGAGAAGGTCAAGAGAAAGGCAGAGCTACCAGCCACCAAAAGAATGCCAGCACTTCCTATGTCTAGGCTTTGGATTCATGAGAAATATATGTTCCTATTTGCTTCAGCTGTAATTACTTGGGTTTTCTGCAACTTACAGCTGAATGCAATCCTAACTCATAAGCCTGTGGTTAAAAGGGGATTCACTGATCACAAAACTGCAAGATCCTAGGGCCGGCACGACATGGAAGTTTCTTTTTTTTTTTTTTTTTTTTTGAGACGGAGTTTCGTTCTTGTTGTCCAGGCTGGAGCGCAGTGGCACGATCTCGGCTTACTGCAACCTCTGCCTCCTGGATTCAAGAGATTCTCCTGCCTCAGCCTCCCGAGTAGCTGGGATTACAGGCATGTACCACCATGCCCGGCTAGTTTTGTATTTTTAGTAAAGATGGGATTTCTCCATGCTGGTCAGGCTGGTCTCAAACTCCTGACCTCAGGTGATCAGCCCACGTCGGCCTCCCAAAGTGCTGGGATCACAGGTGTGAGCCACCGCCCCCGGCAACATAGAAGTTTCATTCAGTTCACTGTCCCTCCCTCTCTGGGCATCTCCACCGAGGGGTCGGTGAGCTTCTGCTTGCATACCTGGAGGATGGCAACCTCAGTACTGCCTAAGGTAACTCATGTTTGATGGCTCCAGGGCATATACAATCTTTATATTAAGGCAAAATTAAATTCCCTACAATTTCCACCCATTTTTCTTAGTGTGAATAATTGGGAAAGAAAAAGGAATCATAAGGCCAGGCACGGTGGCTCACGCCTGTAATCCCATCACTTTGGGAGGCTGAGGCGGTGGATCACCTGCAGTCAGGAGTTTGAGACCAGCCTGGCCAACATGATGAAACCCCATCTCTACTAAAAACACAAAAATTAGCCAGACATGGTGGTGGGCGCCTGTAATCCCAGCTACTAGGGGAGGCTGAGGCAGGAGAATTGTTTGAACCTGGGAGGCAGAGGTTGCAGTGAGCCGAGAGATCAAGCTACCGCACTCCAGCCTGGGCAACTCTGTTTCAAAAAAAAAAAAAAAAGGAATCGTAGAAGCGGGGCAGTGGAGTTAGATGGTAGAGTGCCAACATTTTCTGATTATGTGAAATTGGGCAAGCTCCTCTCTGAAACTTGGTCTCTATCTATAAAGTGGAGATGAGAAATTCTCCCTCCTGGGTTCCTTGTGAGCATTTGCTGGCAGAGAGTAAGGTCATAGCAATTGAGAGTGGTCTGACCCCTTAACACATGAGTTGTGTCAGCTAGCTGTCACATTTGAGAATTGTGTACAGAAAAGAGGTGAGAGCCCAGGACACTGATGCCTCTGATGCAGGGTGACTAACATGGGCCATTAAAACTCCTTACCCGAAAGGGTGTGTGTGTCTGTGTGTGCACATGTGCCCGCTTGTCTCTTTGAGAACCAGCGGGACAAGGAGGGCATCCCAGGTAGGCGTGACTGCTCCCCAGAAATGGAGGGCCTCCCAGTCTGGCTGGGCCTCCTTCACAGCTTTGTCTCCAGTATCCAATCTGTTTGGCCACATCCTCTCCAGCCCCAGACCCATCCCTTGTTCTTCTGACCTGCCTGAAGCCTGCCCTGGTGGGCCAAAGGCCTGATGCAACTTCAGAGAAGATGCTGACTCAGAGAGAATACGCAGGAGACTGGGAAATTTTTGCAGGAGGCCTTTAATTGTGAAGAGTCCAATCAGAAAACAGAGGTGCTGGTCAAGGAGGTGGCCAGCCCGGGAGATGCCCTGGAGCAGGGGGAGAGGTGCCCCTGAGCCTAGTGGCCTGCAGCATTTTGGGCTAGTGGGTGGGCGGTCTCACTGCTTGGAGTATCCAATGTCCCAATGTCGTGGCAGACGCCGAAGTTGGTGTTGGTGATGGCGCCCACAATGGTCTTGTCTCCCTCACAGGTCAGGCCACGCTCACAGGGACACTTGTAGTAAATCCCGTAGAGCGTCTGCAGAGACACAGCCAATGAAGTCAAGGCTATGGGGGGATACTTTGGACATCAATTGTCCCCTGCCTGACCTATAGAACCAGTAGGCCAGCCTGTGTTTTCAGGGAGTGCCTCTCCCACCTACCTCCCCAGGGGTGCTGTGGGCCCTAGAGACCCCAGTTCTGACCTCTGCTCTGGCTCATTTGCTCTTACTGGCTTGATCTCTCTGGGGAGCCTCTACTTACCCAGTCATGAAATGGGGATAACAAATCCTCACCCCCATCCATCTCACTGGTCACTCGGGTCAAGAGAGATGATGGGATGGGAAAGTGCTTTGACACCTGTTGACCTCCCTCTCGTCTCCTCAACATTCAGTGTCCAGGCTGACCCTCCTCCCTGATCCCACTCATAAGTGTTCAAGGCCCTCCTCCCCATTCTCCCAGACCCATGCCACGTCCTCAGGCACCCACCTTCACAGAACACTCGCTGTTCTCACTGGCCAAGGGTATGCAGCGGGCCAGGTCCAACACACCCGTGTGTTGGCAGCATTGGCTCTTACACTGGGCACTATTCATGCAGAGCTCACCGTTCTCCTGCAAGGGGCAGCCAGTCAGCCCAGGCCCCGCTCCCTCAGGTCCCTTCTCCATTCAGACCCACACCCACCATGCACTACTGCTAACGGTGTCTCCCCTGTTGGGGATGTATGTGAAGGAGTCCAACCCGTGGGTCTGGTGGCCTCTGTGCCCCCCCCCACCCACATGAGAAGTGGGCATGCGGTGACAGAGAAGCAGCCTGCACAGAGGGTCAGGACCCCCAGATTCTAGTACCGGCTGTACTACCAACTCCCTGTGTGACTCTGGGCAAGTCACTGCCTCTCAAGCCTCAGTGTTCCCATCTGGAATGTGCACACGAGGCCCCTAGACAGGCTTTCCAAATCTCTCTGGGTCCCACACACCTTTAAGGAGGCAGTGAAGATTGCCTCTCCCTGCAAGACTCCTTCCTTCCGCAACAGATCTGATCTATCATCTCCAGGGTCCTGGACCTCCAAGTCCAGCCATGGCCCCAAGTTAAGAGAGTTCAGAATCTTTCAACCTCATGGATGTTCTGGAAGGGCTTTCCCAGCCAAGACCCATGGTGGAGAGGTGGTGTGGGCCAGTCGTAGGGCCCCAGCTTAACCACTTTCCAGCTGTGTGACCTCAGGCAGGTTGCTCACCCTGCCTCTGTCTGAAGATAGGGCTGACTATGAAAGTACCTCCCTCAGTGGTTATTACAAGGACAGAATGAGCAAACATCTCTGCGGCATCTCAAACTGTGTTGGACACACAGTAAGATGCCACCATAAGTTAGAAGCTGGAATGATTGGCACAAAGCATTTTCTCAGGATGTAAGCCCAGGGCTCTGGATTTTTGTGAAGCTCCCTCATAGGGCCAGGCGAGGTGGCTCACGCCTGTAATCCCAGGATTTTGGGAGGCCGAGGTGGGTGGATCATGAGGTCAGGAGTTCGAGACCAGCCTGGGCAACATGGTGAAACCCTGTCTCTACTAAAAATACAAAAAATAGCCGAGCGTGATGGTGGGCGCCTGTAATCCCAGCTACTCAGGAGGCTGAGGCAGGAGAATCGTTTGAACCCAGGAAGCGGAGGTTGCAGTGAGCCGAGATTGTGCCACTGCACTCCAGCCTGGTGATAAAGTGAGACTCCATCTGAAAAAAAAAAAAAAGAAAGAAAGAAAGAAAGAAAAAAGGTCCCTCATAGCCAGGTTGAGCTGCTGCTCTGAGCATGCTCCAGTTGGAGCTGGAGAGGGGCTGATCAGCCTTTCCTGTGGCCCCTGGGAAGAGGCATACAACAGGCCATGGAAGTAAACAGATGGATGCAAGATGCCACTCCTCCCAGCCCCTGCCAGTCCAGGTGGGGACATCAGAGGTCAAGGTCCAAGCTTAGGACGTCTTCACCTGGGGACTCAGGAGGCCCCTTCCCTGAAGACCCTCTTACCAGGTTGATAATGATCCCCCGTGGGCCAGGAGCTGCATAGGCCACAGAGAGGGCGACAAGCAGGAGGATCAGGATCTTCTCCATGGCGAGTGGGACAGCTGGTGTGGGTGGCAGGAGACAGAGCCAGCTGTGGTGATGGGGCTATAAAAGGGGCCTTGACCTCACGTGACCCACCTACATCCCACAGGGCTGGCCGTGGGCAGAGGTGCAGCTGTGGCCAATCTGCTGGGAGGCGGGTCCTGATAAGGAAGCTGGGTGAGTACCTGGTGGCCTTTTGTGCACGTGTGTGTGTGTGTGTGTGTGTGTTGGTGATAATTGTGTTGCATCATGGTTAAGAATGTGGACTGTGTACAAGTTATTAGTGAGGCAAACTTACTATCTGTTCCAACTATTCTGCCTTTCATCTTATCTGTCAACTAAGGATAATTTAAAGAGTTGTGAGTGTTGAATTAATGCACATTTATATGTGTTACATATATAAACATGATTATATACAATTATAAGAATATATTTATATTGTATATTCCCATATGCCACATAAGCAGTGGGTAAGGGCAGCTGCCCTTGTGTCCTGAGCTCCTGGGCAGTGCCTGGACAAGTCTGAGGCAAGAGAGGCACCTATAGTGTGAGTGCCTGCTTACATTCTGTGTACTCGGGGCCTCTCTGCCTCACCATAGTCAGGTCTTGCCTTTGGCCCACCCAAGCCCGGGTGTCTAGCAGTGTCAGACTCCAGGTATGAGGATCCCAGCCTCCCACCCCTCAACCTTCCTTCAGTCTCCTCGGGGGATTCCAGGCCAGGCCCAGATCCCTGGGGCTGACAGTTCTGCAACCCCCAGCAGGCCAGGGTGTGTGTGCTTTTACTCTGACACCCTCCCCCTGCCCTCACACCAGGGGGCTGCCTGCAGGCTTGACTCAAGGGCCCTTAGGAGGCCCTTCCTAAATGCCTCTCTCCCCTTTTCTTTCTACCTCACTTACTATCTGCAATTCCAGCATCAGATACACCTTTAGTTAAGGTTTCCACTCACGCTGCCCACTACCCAAGGCCACGTGTGCGCATGAGCAGTCGCTAGTCCTGGCTGAGAATGAAGAGGTCTTGTCAGCCTCAGATGGAGCAGGGGCCTCAGGAAGCTGGGAAGGGCACAGCTGCCTGAGTTTGCTTAGGCATGGGAACAGAGCAGCTTTTCCTGAAGGACTAGTCATGGCAGCCAGAGGCCCATGCCCTTCCCCTCTCCATCCCAGGAGGTAGAAGACAGCTCCACTGAGAGGCCCAGGCCTCAAGCACAGCTTTTAATTTAATTTAATTTTTTGAGACAAGGTCTCACTCTGTCACCTAGGCCAAAGTGCAGTGTGCCATCTTGGCTCACGGCAGCCTCCACCTCCTGAGATCAAGCAATCCTCCCCCTCAGCTGCCCAGGTCTCAAACTCCTGGGATCAAGCAATCCTCCCACCTCGGCCTGCTAAAGTGTTGGGATTACAGGTGTGAGCCACTGTACCCAGCCTCAAGCACAGCTTTGATCCAGACCAAGCTGGCTTCAAAATTCAGCATTTACTAGAGCTACATGGCCTCAGACACATTATTGAAAGTGAAGCTCCCTGAACCTCACTTTCCTTATTTACCTTAGGGAGATAATGCCTCCTACTTCCTGAGGCCATGATTAAGACAATGCCTGTGGAACCCCTTCGGAAGTGCCTGGCACATGGTGGGTGCCCAGCCATATAATATGACCCACTTGCTCTCACCTTTACATCCCTGGGGTGTGGAATGTAGAGGAATAGCTGGAGGAACAGCCAAGAGACTCTCAAAAGGAGAAAAACCTATTTGGTTCCAGCGATGCAGAAATGCCACTGATGAAACACTATCCCCTCTCTCTTTTACAAAACTCAATGTTTGAAACCACTTTTTCCTATGAGCTCACTCTGATCCTTCCTTCTCTTTACCTGCTCTCCACCCCCGGGACCTCTATGAGTGAGCCACGGGGAAGGGAATCACTACTCCCTCCTCACAAGTCAAGATGGAGACTGGCGGAGGCACCGGAGGAGAGATTTCTATCCACGCAGGGAGCCGTGAAAACCAGCAGCCCTGTCCCTAGTTGGTCTCAGCCAATCTCACAGAGGAAAAAGACTGGAGTTTTTTCCATCACAAATGAAGTATAGCAAAGAGAACTTTGACATTGTATGTGCTTCTAATAGGAAAGCAAAAATTAAGTACCTGTCGATGAAAAGAGTCAAACTCTGCACAATATTTGAATAGATTTCTTCTGAGCCAAATATGAGCGCCTGTGGCCTGTGACACGGCCCTCGGAATGTAACTGCTCACGGGGTTCACCTTGCCCACTACCTAGACAGAGCCGATTCATCAAGACAGGGGAATTGCAGTGGAGAAAGAGTATTTCATGCAGAGCCAGCTGTGCAGGTGCGGGAGACTAGAGTTTTACAGAGTTGTTGTTGTTGGGACAGAGCTTCACTCTTGTTGCCCAGCTTGGAGTACAATTGCGTGATCTTGGCTCACTGCAACCTCTGCCTCCTGGGTTCAAGCGATTCTCCTGCCTCAGCCTCTCGAGTAGCTGGGATTACAGGCATGTGCCACCATGCCTGGCTAATTTTGTATTTTTAGTAGAGACAAGGTTTCGCTGTGTTGGTCAGGCTGGTCTCGAACTCCAGACCTCAAGTGATCCACCTGCCTCAGCCTCCCAAAGTGCTGGGATTACAGGCGTGGCGGGAGCAGAGTTTTTAAAGATAACTTGGTGGGTGGGGGGGAGGCAAGTGAGCCAGGGGTGCTGATTGGTCTGATATGAAATCATAGGGACTCACAGCTACCTTCGTGCACTCAGTCAGTTCCTGGGTGGGGGCCACAAGATCAGATGAGCCAGTTTATTGATCCGGGTGGCGCCAACTGATCTATCAAGTGCAGGGTCTGCAAAATATCTCAAGCCCTGATCTTAGGAGTGGTTTAGGGAGGATCAGAATCTTGTAGGTTCCAGCTGCATGACTCCTAAGTCATAATTTCTAATCTTGTGGCTAATGTTAGTCCTACAAAGGCAATCTAGTCCCCAGGCAAGAATGAAGTCTGCTTTGGGAAAGGGCTGTTACTGTCTTTGTTTAAACCATAAACTAAGTTTCTCCCATAGTTAGTTCAGCTTACGCCTAGGAATAAACAAGGACAGCTAGGAGGTTAGAAGTAAGATGCAGTCAGTTAAGTCAGATCTCTTTCACTGTCTCAGTCATAATTTTGCAAAGGGGGTTTCGGAATAGGAGAAAACAAAGAAAGTGACCCCCTTTTGAGCACTCCATAGCTTTTATGGCATCTCTACTTGCCAAAGTTTATGTAAAATTGAAATAACATGGTCTTTGTGCACATTTACGTTAAGGAAAAAGAGCCCTAAAGTTGACCTGTAAACTATAGAATTCCTAAGTCGTCTTTTTCTCTGTTTTTCTTTTCTGCCTGCTCTAAATCTGCTTGCTTGCTTTTCCTTCCTTCCTTCCTTCCTCCCTCCCTTCCTCCTTCCTTTCTTTCTCTTTCTCTTTTCTTTCTTTCTCTTTTCTTTCTTTCTTTTCTTTTCTTTCTCTCTCTCTCTCTTTCTTTCCCTCCCTCCCTCCCTCCCTTCCTGCCTTCCTCCCTTCCTTCCTTCCTTCCTTCCTTCCTTCCTTCCTTCCTTCCTTCCTTCCTTCCTTCCTTCCTTCCTTCCGTCTCTCTCTCTCTTTCTTCTCTCTCTCTCTCTCTTTCTTTCAGATTCTTGCTCTGTCACCCAGGCTGGAGTGCAATGGCACAATCTCGTCTCACTGCAACCTCTGCCTCCAGGGTTCAAGCCATTCTCCTGCCTCAGCCTTCTGAGTAGCTGGAATTACAGGCACCTGCCACCATGCCCAGCTAATTTTTTGTATTTTTAGTAGAAATGGGGTTTCACTATGTTGTCTAGGCTGGTCTCAAACTTCTGATCTCATGATCCGCCTGCATCAGCCTCCCAAAGTGCTGGGATTACAGGCGTGAGCCACCGCACCCAGCAATCTGCTGTTATTTTTCTCTTAAGATAAAAACCACTGTTTTAGATCCAACAAGTTCTTTTTGCAAGCCAATGAATTTGTATTTATCTCATGGCTAAAAGTTCTGAAATAAAAGCTACAGGGGGTGTGTGTGTGTGTGTGTGTGTGTGTGTGTATTTAAAAGGCCTTTATAATTTCCACAATTTTATGTTTAATTGGCAATTAAATCTGTTTTAATTTCCCTCTGGAACACCAGACTTTTCTCGCCACACCTTATAATGTAAATTTTGCTATTTGACTTTCACCTGAACTGTTTCCTTTAATATGCAAATTTAAGGCTATTTAACTGTCAGCTGCCTAGGGTTGTGAAACAGGTTTTCAAGAATTTGAAAGTTTAAGGCCAGGCACGATGGCTTACACCTGTAATCCCAGCACTTTGGGAGGCCGAGATGGGTGGATCACCTGAGGTCAGGAGTTTGAGACCTCCCTGGCCAACATGGCGAAACCCCGTCTCTACTAAAAATAGAAAAATTAGCTGAGTATGGTGGCGGGCACCTGTAATCCTAGCTATGGCTGAGGCAGAAGAATCGCTTGAATTTGAGAGGCAGAGGTTGCAGTGAGCGAAGATTGCGCCACTGCATTCCAGCCTAGGTGACAGAGAGAGACTCCGTCTCAAAAACAAAAAGAATCTGAAAGATTAAAATAGAAAAAAAAAAGTTTTAATAAATCTATACGATGTACTTCTATAGGCATGCCTGATATGTCTATGTATTTATGGGTGATGGGCACAATGTTTCACTACTGAAAATAAATAAAAGAGCTCTAATTGGCTTAAGAAAATAAAAGCACTTGAATCGAACACTTTATCAGGAAAAAAGAAAAGACTAGTCAAATGCTGTTTCAAGTTTACGTAATGTCAGTAAAATCTTTAATAAATAAGCTAGCTTCAAAATTATTATTAATGTTGGGATTATGACATTAATCCCAACATTAATAATGAGGCACCGCGCGTGAGCTACCACGCCCAGCCACTTTTCTTACTATTAAAAACAACCTGAGCCAGGCGCGGTGGCTCACACCTGTAATCCCAACACTTTGGGAGGCTGAGGCGGGCAGATCACTTAAGATCAGGAGTTTGAGACTGAAAGGAATGAGGCACATCCCCCATATATCTCCCAACTTCCTGAGCCCAGCACAAACACATTCCTCCAGATTTCTTTCAAACTTCAGAAAAACATCACCTGGGAGATCTCCGATAAGGAATGCTAAATGTATAATGTTAACCAATTGTAATGCAGTAACCGAGAGAACTACCTTGTTCCCTGTAACTTTACATATCCTGTTTACATCCGGCTATAAAAAGCAAGCACTCGCATTGTTCGGGTCCCTCTTGTATGCTGTGGAATGGAGGGACCAAGTTCGAACTTGTAGTAAAGATCCTTGCCGCTTGGCTTTGACTCTGGACTCTGGTGGTCTTCTTTGGGGAACAAACGGTCTGGGTATAACAAGACCAGCCTGACTAACATAATGAAACTCCGTCTCTACTAAAAATACAAAAATTAGCGGGGCCTGGTGGCACATGCCTGTAATCCCAGTTACTTGGGAGGCTGAGGCAGGAGAATCACTTGAACCTGGGAGGCGGAGGTTGCAGTGAGCCAAGACTGTGCTATTGCACTCAAGCCTGGGCATCGAGTGAAACTTCGTGTCAAACAACAACAACAACAACAAACAAACAAACAACAACCTTACTGGCCAGGCGCAGCTGTAATCCCAGCACTTTGGGAGGCCAAGGCGGGAGGATCGCCTGAGGTCGGGAGTTTGAGACCAGTCTGACCAACAAGGAGAAACCCCGTCTCTACTAAAAATACAAAATTAGCCGAGTGTGGCGGCCATGCCTGTAATCGGGAGGCTGAGGCAGGAGAATCACTTGAACCAGGAAGGTGGAGGTTGCGGTGAGCCAAGATCACGTCACTGCACTCCAGCCTGGGCAACAAGAGCGAGACTCCGTATCAAAGAACAAAAAACAAAACAAAACAAAAAACTAGCCAGGCGTGGTGGTGCATGCCTGTAATCCCAGCTACTTGGGAGGCTGAGACAGGAGGATTGCTTGAACCAGGGAGGTGGAGGTTGTGGTGAGCTGAGATCGTGCCATTGCACTCCAGCTTGGGCAACAAGAGTGAAACTCCGTCTCAAAAATAAATAAATAAAAAATAAAAATAAAATAAAATTGTACATACATCATCCAGTCGTGTAAAGGAGTATGTTCGGAAGGGGGAAACTGCAGGGACTAACAGTGGTAATAACAGTAATCACCAACATTTTTGAGTACTTTCTCTTTTTTTGTTAAAGCCAGACTGGAGTGCAGTGGTGTGATCTTGGTTCACTGCAACCTCGACCTCCTGGGCTCCAGTGATTCTCCCACCTCAACCTCCCAAGTAGCTGTGACTACAGGCGGGCACCACCATGCCTGGCTATGCCTGGCTAAGTTGTGTATTTTTTGTAGAGATGGGAGTCTTGCTATGTTGCCCAGGCTAGTCTAGAATTCCTGAGCTCAAGTGATCTGACTGCCTGGCCTCCCAAAGTGCTGGGATTAGAGACCACTAATGTGCCTTTGAGCCCTTTAAAAAAAAATTATTATTATTATGTTTTGAGATGGAGTTTTGCTCTTGTTGCCCAGGCTGGAATGCAATGGTGTAATCTCGGCTCACTGCCACCTCTGCCTCCCAGGTTCAAGCGATTCTCCTGTCTCAGCCTCCTGAGTAGCTGGGAATACAGGCACCTGCTACTATGCCTGGCTAATTTTTGGCATTTTTAGTACAGATGGGGTTTCACAATGTTGGTCAGACTGGTCTTAAACTCCTGACCTCAGGTGATCCACCGGACTTGGCTTCCCAAAGTGATGAAATTACGGGCATGAGCCACCATACCCAGCCCTTTGAGCACTTTTATGTGTGCCCCGGGCTAAAGATTTTATACATGTATTTTACTTAGCCGTTGTGTGATCGATACCATCATTTCTTGCATTTAATAGATGGAGAAACTGAGGCTCAGGAAGAAAGGTTAAGTCCATGGATGGTTACTTAGTAAGTAGCTCATTCAAATCCAGGCCTGTTGAACACCAAAGTCCATGTTTTTAAGATTGTCTTGTCTTTCCGTAGCTCCTGACGTTGGTGTTATGATTTTTATTCTTCTGTGTATACTTTCCTGAATTTTCCTAATTCTTTTTTCGTTTTTTCTTTTTTCAGTTTTATGACTTTATTTGATGTATTTGACGATCAGCGATTAGTTCTCATCCACATTGACTGTCTGTAGATTTTTGAAAGTGGTAACAGGTACATAGGTAACCAAAGTATAGAGCTTATTTGGTGAATCTTCATCCTCATTACGTTTTCTGGACAGCCGCACACGGATTCGGTATGGGACATTCCTTATTCCTTTGGCCCAGACAGCTTTGTTGAGCCTGGTATCAATGAGCACATCTAGAGTTTCCATCTCCTTCATGGCAAATTTCCGAATCTCTTTGAGTGCCCGAGGGGCACGCTTCTTGAAGCCCACTCCATGGATGCGCTTGTGAATGTTGATGGTGTATTCTCGGGTCACCACCTCGTTGATGGCAGAACAGCCCTTTTTCTTCTCGCCACCCTTTTTGCGGGAGCCATTCTGCTGGGTCCAAGTTGGAAAGGAAGCTTTTTTTTTTTTTGAGACGGAGTCTTGCTCTGTCGCCCAGGCTGGAGTGCAGTAGTGCGATCTCAGCTCACTGCAAGCTCCCCATCCCGAGTTCACACCATTCTCCTGCCTCAGCCTCCCCAGCAGCTGGGACAACAGGTGCACGCCACCATGCCCGGCTAATTTTTTTGTATTTTTAGTAGAGACGGGGTTTCAGTGCGTTAGCCAGGATGGTCTCGATCTCCTGACCTCGTGATCTGCCCACCTTTGCCTCCCAAAGTGCTGGGATTACAGTCGTGAGCCACCGCGCCTGATGGAATTTTCCTAGTTCCATTACACTAGCCTTGTATTTACCTATAAAATCAGGAGAAATATGTATATATATAACATATAAAAACATACATATATTTAAAGGGGGAAATATGTAACAAACACATAGAAACAAGGGGAGAAAGGCATTGTATTGAACAAAACACATATGTTCAGGTCTGAGAAGGCTCATAAAGAATGTTGTCTGCTATACTTTGTAGTTGCCTCTGTTATCACACAGTCTGCATATACAGGCGTTTTATATATATATTTATATAGACTACATATATACATATATTATATATGTAAATATTTTGCTTAGATGTCCTCTAACATAACCTTAACACATAGTATGCTTTTAGAAATCATTGACTGAATGCTAAGGACGAAAAACCAGTGACCAGAAGGCAACCAGGAAAGGCTTTGTTGACCTCCGGGGTGGTGGGATTGGAGGTTCTGGGAAGCCGACTAGGGAACCAGGGAGGGGCGGGGTGGAATGGGATGTGGACAGCGCTTTTGCGGGGGGAAAGCGTTTTTGCGGCTGGAATTGAGCGGTAGGAATGTGTCAGCCACAACCCCACCTTCCCAGTTCTTGTCATCTCGGTTCAGGAAGGTGAACTGGGTTCCGATTCCCCGCGGCGGGGGCCTGCAGTGGGCGCTCGGTCCCTTCCCCGCCTCGGCTGCAGGCCCCGCCCCTCGCCCAGAACCCCGGGGCGCTGGCCGCGGTGCTGAAACGGCGCCCTCCGCGGACGGAGGAGGGGGCGGGGCTCTCGGGAGCCGTGAGCCGGGAAGGGAGAGGGGCAGGGCGGCGCCAGCAGGCCCGAGACCCTGGGGGGCTTGGGAGGGGGCAGGATACTGGAGACAACCTCGGCTAGAGCGGACACAGGCACCTGGCAAGCTTCCCCTGATCAAGCCAAGGTTGTCCTTGTCCTATTAAGCCTCTTCTCCTTGCCTTGAAGGGACCTCATCTGGTGCCCTGACCTCAGCCTCCTCCCCAAACCCCGCTGGGGAGTGATCTGCTTCTAGGCCTCCATCCACAAAGCCACGGACTTGCAGCCCACGGGACCCCAGCTCAGGGCCTGCTGCCCTCACCATGGTGAAATTGCTGCCGGCCCAGGAGGCAGCCAAGATCTACCATACCAACTATGTGCGGAACTCGCGGGCCGTGGGCGTGATGTGGGGTACACTCACCATCTGCTTCTCCGTGCTGGTCATGGCCCTCTTCATCCAGCCCTACTGGATCGGCGACAGCGTCAACACACCGCAGGCAGGCTACTTCGGCCTTTTCTCCTACTGCGTGGGTAATGTGCTCTCCTCGGAGCTCATCTGCAAGGGTGGTCCCCTAGACTTCTCCTCCATCCCCTCTAGAGCCTTCAAGACTGCCATGTTCTTTGTGGCCTTGGGCATGTTCCTCATCATTGGCTCCATCATCTGCTTCAGCCTGTTCTTCATCTGCAACACGGCCACAGTCTACAAGATCTGTGCATGGATGCAGCTGGCTGCGGGTAAGCAGGGATGGTGGGAGGGCAGGCAGGGGCCCACCCCGGGGCCACAGCTGCAGCTGCACCATCCCACCCTCTGCTGGGGCTCTGGGCCTTAAATTTAGCTGTTCTCCTACAGCCCAGTCCTACTCAGTGCTCTGAGAAGATTCTGAGGAGTTGAGAATCTTAGAATGGCCGAGGCAGAAAAGACCTTAGAGATCAAGCTGTCCAACCCTCTCATCTGTAAGGGGAAGTGACTTGCCCAGGAGTACACAGTTGCTGGTCCTGACTCCCAGGCCATCACATCAGCTTTTGCAGCTGTGAGAGAGAGAAAGAAGGAAGCTTCCACTGTTGGCCATGTGGGAACAGGACTCAACCCCAGCACAAAGTAGTGACACCAGTCAAGCACATTCTAGATGCCCTCATCTCCCACCTCTGGGCTTTTGTTCTTTTTAAGAGTGCCCAGAACTCTGTCCTCATTCTCTCTCTCCCACTCCAAACTGCTCTCAGATTCTAAGGTCTCTTGCTGATTTTGGAGTGTTACTATTATGCAGGGTATGACCTTGCCTACAGAAACTTTCATCTAAAGTCCCCTCTTTCATTGTGGAGTGAAAGTCTTTTCTCCTTGATTATGGGATTTTATACTTAAGGCAGCAAATGGAGTGATACTGTGTGAGGTGGAGGAAGCTATTTAGGGTCCTGTTGTTGTTGTTTGTTTGTTTTTTGAGACAGAGTTGGCCCAGGCTGGAGTACAGTGGCATGATCTCAGCTCACTGCAGCCTCAACCTCCTTGGACTTAGGTGATCCTCTCTCATCAGCTTCCCAAGTAGCTGGGACTCTAGGTGTGCACCACCATGTCTGGCTAATTTTTTTGTAATTTTTGTAGAGATGGGGTTTTGTCATATTGCCCAGGCAGGTCTCGAACTGCTGGCCTCAAGCGATTTGCTCGCTTCAGTCTCCCAAAGTGTTGGGATTTCAGGTATGATCCACAGCACCTGGCCTAGGGTCCTTTAAAACAATGTGGGGGCTGGGCACAGTGGCTCACACCTATAATCCCAACACTTTGGGAGAGAACATCACTTGAGCTCAGGAGTTTGAGACTAGACTGGGCAAGATGGCAAGACCCTGTCTCTAAAAATAATAATAAATAAAATGAAACAAATAAAACTGTGGGGTAGGCAGCCACTTTTGTCCTGAGGCAAGACCTCCCTGGTCCTTTTTCCTGCTCCTAGCTCAGGAAGGCTTCTTGGTCCTTGTGCCAAGTGATCTTGCTCTTCTCTGTAGCCCAGGAAGAGGGTTAACACCTTGTGCTGCAGGCTCTGGTACCTTGGTCCCTGCCCACCTCAGGGACCACACATAAACTGTCCATGCCAGTGAGATGTCCAGGAGTAGTGCCAGGGACTGGAAACTAGAGTGAAACCATCTTGATATCATTGGTCAGAATGAGAAGTGCTGTCAAGGTCAGGAGATGGAGACCATCCTGGCTAACACGGTGAAACTTCATCTCTACTAAAAAGACAAAAAAAAAAAAAAAATTAGCTGGGCGTGGTGGTGGGTGACTGTAGTCCCAGCTACTTGGGAGGCTGAGGCAGGAGAATGGTGTGAACCCAGAAGGTGGAGCCTGCAGTGAGCTGAGATCGCGCCACTGCACTCCAGCCTGGATGACAGAGCGAGACTCCATGTCAAAAAAAAAAAAAAAAAAAAAAAAGGCAGATTTACGTTTGTAATTCCAGCACTTAGGCCGAGGAGGTGGCACTCAGTCTGAACCCAACCTGCCCCAACCCGTCCTTGCAACCGCTTCACTTCTGCGCGCATCTGCATCCCCATCCAAGATGCTGACATGCGCAGGGCTGCAAAGTCCAAGCAGAGAAAGCAGAGAAGAGAAGCAGAGACAGAAGAGAAGAAGAGGAGAGAGAACAGGCTGGGCAGCCATGGAACAGGTATGCAGTGTGCAGGCAGAAGAGCAGAGAGGCAGACAGAGGCGCAACCAGGCGGCGGCAAAAATGCGGCAATGCAAATGGCTGCGTTAAATGTGCAACAAAGGCAGCGGAAAACCAAAGCCAGCGTTGTTTTAATAAAATGGCACTAGAGAGACAGAAGAGCAGCAGCACCAAAGCGCATGTAACAGGCAACTAAAGAGCACAACGAGCAAGACACGCGGCTGGCAAGTGGTAGCCACCACCAGCAACAACCAATGTTGCATAGAAGTTGCAGTTTTGGCAAGAAGATGACAAGAAGAAAACAAGACAGATGCGTTTTGTGGTAGGAGCGAAGGCAGGAAATGTAAGCAAAAAGGCAAATGGCTGAAGGCGTGTAGAGAAGTGTAAGCTTACAGAGAAACGAAGAGGTGGTGCTAGGAGAAAACAGTTAAGATGAGATGGCAAGAGAAAAGGCGTATAACATGTAAGATGGTAAAGTTAGACTGAGAGGCGGGAACAATAATGGGGTATGAAGCAGGAGGAGGAGGAAGAGGAGGCGAAGCAATCAATGCTCTATGATGCAGCACGACTGGTGAAGGTATCTGAGTTATTGGCAATGAATCTGCATGCATTTGCAGCAACCTCAATTCTTGCCTCAGAAGAAAAAGACTGACTGAGGGGCATAAAGCAGACAAAGAGACTGAGGCAGGTTTCAGAGCATGAGTGGAAGTTTATTAAAAAGCTTTAGAGCAGGAAAGAAATGGAAAAAGAGATCAAGATCCTCAAGTGTGCAACTTGAAGTTGGACAAGTGCAGTGTTTAACTCACACACTTGAGCCGCGCGTGCCTCTCTCCCCTGATTCTTCCCCTTAGGGTGAGCTGGACTACATGTGCAGTGTCCTCTTACCTTGGGAAGTGAGTACACGCAGTGTGTTTTAGGAAGTTGTACATGCTCTGTCTGAGACTTTCTTTCCCTTTTTCCAGTGGAGTGCGCCTACACAGAAATCTACCTCCATTTTTTCTCTTAATGTATGCCTCGGGCTCACCCGCCCACCACCTGAGATTTTGATTGGAAGCCCTGTTTCTCTGGCTCCCCTGCATTCAGTGAACACTTAATGTTAAATAGCTATGGACCATTAGAGATTGTCTCCTCCTGGAGCCCATGCCAAATTGTCATTTGAGGCATGATAACTGTTGAACCATCACCTGACATTCTGATGGAGGGTAGATTTCTCCTGCCCTGGCCATGCCTGTCTAACTACCCGTAACATCTCTACAAAATAGAAAAATTAGCTGGGTATGGTGGTGTATGCCTGTGGTCCCAGTTACGTGGGAGGCTGAGGCAGGAGGATTGCTTGAACCAGAGGCTGAGGCCACAGTGAGCCATACCTGCACCACTGCACTCCAGCCGGGTGACAGAGGACCGTTCAAAAAAAAAAAAAAAAAAAGGAAAGGAAAGAAAGAGGGCTGGGCACGGTGGCTCACAGCCGTAATCCACTAGCACTTTGGGAGGCCGAGGCAGGTGGATCACCCGAGGTCAGGAGTTCGAGATCAGCCTGGCCAACATGGTGAAACCGTGTGTTTCTACTAAAATATAAAAATTAGCCGGGCATGGTGGTGCACGGCTGTAATCGCAGCTACTGGGGAGGCTGAGAGTTGAGAATTCATGAACTCAGGAGGTGGATGTTGCAGTGAGCCAAGATCGCGCCACTGCACTCCAGCCTGTTATGGAGCGAGACTACATCTCAAAAGAAAAAAGAAGAAAAGAAAAGAAAGAAAAAGTTTTAACTAGCTCCTCAGTTGCACTACCATATTTCAAGTGCTCAGCAGTGGTTAGGTGGCTATTGGACTGAGTAGAAAACACATTTTATCACTGCAGAAAGCTCTGTTGGACAGTGCTGTTCGAATGTCACTGCAGGTGATAGGATTTCGTTTTGTTGTTCCCAGCTGTATTCTCAGTGCCTGAACAGTGCCTGGCACACAGTAGGTGCTCAGTATTTGCCTGTTGAATGACTACTGAAATTGTCAGAGATGATGGTATTTGATCAATAATGTTAATTACTGTCCTAAGCCCCACTGGGTGGAGGTCATTGAGGTGGTGGGGGGAGTGGGGGGAATGTAGGTGACCATCAGCCACCGGTGAAAGGGTAAGTATGCGTTTTCGGGAGAGAAGACTGCAGCAGAATGAAGTGCAAGAGAGAGACAGGGAAGTCTAGACCACCCTGGTGTGTATGAGAAGCAGCCTGTGTTGAGGGCACCAAGAGCTTAACCTTTTAAAACCGCTCAGTCCCCTCCAGGTACCCTCCATTCATGACTTACCCTGGCCCCCACGTAGAGATCGGCCTCTGTGCCAGAGAGGAGCCAGGAGAGGATGGTGGGAACACAGTCTGGGGAGAGCCCCGCAGGGTGAGTGCCCGGGCGGTGCGAGGCGGGAAGGCGGGCGGTGGAGCTTGGCGGGCTGCAGGTGCCTCCTGCAGGACCTCAAGGAGATCTGCATCCGAACCAGGACTGCCAGACTGGGTGCTGCCGACGGCTCCAGACATCTCAAGTGAGTCGCACTGCACGGAGAAGGGGTCCAGGGCAGCCTGTGTCAATGCTGGTGGGTATCGGCGCTGGGGAGCCAAAGGGGGATTCAGGGGAAGGGGAGCCAGGAGGGCCAGACTCTTGGGGAGGAAAAAGAAGGGTAGGTGGGCGGAAATGTCCTGAGCCTGGAACCCCCGTGGACTGCACCTCCAAGCCTTCTGGGGAGCCTGTGACGGAACTAAATGGCAGCCCACCCTAGATCTTGGAATCCTGGTTGGGGCGGAGGGGATGCTCACTCCCTAATGTGGGTTCTCATTCTCCAGGGGTCCCTCTCAGCAAGTGCCGAAGCAGTACAGTAAATGGGCACAGCTAGGTCTGGCCTCTGCCTCCCAGAGCTCTGCCTTCATCCAGTACAGGAGTTCTGCTGTGGCCTTGTGTTCCTAGTGGAGGATGGGCAGAGGCAAGCCCTGAGCTGTGGGTAGGGGAGGGAGTGGATTTGCCCATAGAAGGATTTAAAGACAAAACATGGAGGCCTTACAATGGTGTGTTCATGGACTGAGGACAGGCAGATGGATCAGTGACA